GATCCGGTGGATCATTTAGATGAATTTGACAGAATCTGTAGCTTGACTAAGTTGCATGGGGTTTCACAAGATGCCTTTAAGCTCAGGTTATTTCTTTTCTCCCTTGATGGTAAAGCTCATGGGTTGGAAAAGAAATTGCCTGCAGGATCAGTTAATTCATGGGCTAAATGCAAAGCTAATGATGGTATTGCTTCTAGCGCTTGATCTCAAGGTCAACTTCCTGGAAAGTCTGAAGCCAATCCCAAAGAGTTCTGCAATGTCATCTCTTGTGCTACCATGCCAAGTCAAGTAGCTAATGATGCTGCCATTTCTGAGCTAGAGCAGCTTTTCTATGGTGAGGATTATGTTTCTCCCTACTTTGTCCAACCAGTTGTTGTCAATAAGGACATTGAACTCCTGAGTAGGGGCGAGAAGCAAAAGCAGAAGCAGGAACTGATCATTGAAGAAAAAAAACTCCCTACGACCCCCCACCACCTTATAAACCTGCTCTTCCATTTCTAAGGAGGTTTAAGAAGGAGCTTGTAGCAAAGCATAAAGTTCTGTTTCTTGAGTACATGAAGAAGCGTAAGAGGAGTTTTCAGACTCTCAAAGAGCCACACAGGCTAACTCCTAGTATAATAGCTCTCAAGGATAAGCTTCTAGCTGAAGCAAGGGAGCTAAGTAAAACAGAACTGTCTACCCATGAAGTTGTACCTCAAGAGGCTAAGAAGGTCATTGTCACCAAGAAGCTGGGAGATCCATGATGCTCTACTCTGCTTTATACAATGGGAAGCTCATCGTTCACAAGTTGTTTGTGTGATCTTGGCGCCAGCATTAACTTGATGCCTCTCTTAACTGCCAAGAACTTAGGCTTTACAAGCTTTAAAGAGATCCATGATGCTCTACTCTGCTTTATACAGTGGGAAGCTCATCATTCACAAGTTGTTAATGTGATCTTGGCGGCAGCATTAACTTGATGCCTATCTCAACTGCCAAGAGCTTAGGCTTTACAAACTTTAAAGAGAGTGAGATATCTCTTGTCTTAGCTCATGGAACAAGGAGAAGTCTAGATGGTTTGCTAGTGGACTTGCCTGTTATGATGGGAACAGTGAAGGTACTAACTAATTTTGTGGTACTAGATTTGGAAGGGGAGATAAAGAACCCAATCATCTTGGGTAGACCATTCTTGGCTTCAACTGGAGAAATGTTTGATGTGAAGATGAGCCTGATTGAGTTAAAGCTAAGTGATAATGAGGAGAAAGCATATTCACTTGAGGTTAAAGCATAACAATGAGGAGCTGAGAGTTGGCCTCCCATCAATGAGTATGATGGAATAAGCTTTGATGGATGCTGCCTGTCTACACTATTTGAAAAGTCCCAGCCTACACAAAGAGGAAGAGCCTAAAGAGACCCCAAGGGAAGCCAAAGGAGGTTAAGCCAGGCTAAAGTTTCTCAAAGGAAACCAAAGGAGACCCTAAAGGAAGAGCCCAAGGAGACCCCAAGGGAAGCTAAAGGAGGTTAAGCCAGGCTAAAATTTCTCTCTAAAGGCTTGACCTTGCAGCTGCTGGGTTCAACAGATAATGGAGTGGTGTACAAGGTCAAGTGCAAGGGCAAACCTCAGTTTTTTTTTGCATTTTCTGAGACGAGTCAAAAGTGGTTTGGGCTTGAGTTTGGGTTTAGGCATGGATTCGGGGTAGATGGATCTTGGTCTAATAATCTCTCTATTGTACTAAATTATTATTTGTGTACTAACCACATAAATTTTAATTTGGTTGAAAGTAAAATTCTCCTAATTTCTTCATAAATTATTAGTTTACCCAATTGTAGTAATTACGTTCCTACATAACTTTCTCTTATGTTTTTCTCTAAAGTCTTTATCTGTGTCTCCTGAAGAAATAATGAAGTTCTATGGTTAATTATACCCGTTCCCGTCACTTTTGTGCCCTAGGTCTCGTGCCCTAACTTGCACCACAAGAAATACACTTGCACACACTAAAAAGGGGAAAAAGGAGTGATTAATGAATTACTCAGCAGGAAAAAATTATCCATGCCCACATGATTCACATTACATTAATAATTCAAAACAATATACACATATACTATTATGACATGGCACAATCAACACACAACTTAGCATGGCTAACAAAAATCAACCTAGAATCTAATAACATCCACTTCATTCTCATACTTCACTTTAACACATCACTTATCACATCACATAACATAACACATGAAACTGGCTGGTCGGATATCTCGAATGGTCTCCCACCACCTTTGACTCAATATAAAATATAATGACATTAGGCTAGTCAGACACCTCGAAAAGTCTTCCACCACCCTTTGGCTCGTTAACCGGTTAACGGGCTTTAACAGGATTACCATGTCCTCGTCCTCAGTCTGACTACACCAAAACAACAAACTTTAACGGGATTGTGATGTCCTCGTTCTCAGTTTGTATGTACTCAAAGAACTATATACTATTCAGCAAACCACTCAACTGTAACATGCTAACATCATCTATAACATACCACTATCATTCTATTTTTTTTCATATTTTTCCAACACAATCACAATGCATGCCTACTTCACAACAATACATATCTGAACCTAGAATATAATGGATATGGAAAATAATTAGTATGCAGTATGAGTCCACAAGTCACATCTCCTCACCTTAGCCACTTTGATGTTGAAGACCAACTCATTGTCTTTTATATTCTCTTAGGAAGATTCGCTGGTACGCCTTTAACATCCTGTTTCCTCATGTTTATGGATCTCAAAACGGTTATACTTCAACAGAGAGATGCATCCAAGTATCTTTAATATGTCCGTAAAGTTTCAGGACAAACGTATCTTGTTTTTCTAACCAAATGACATCACTCCACAGTCTGGTTTTGGACACACACTGCACAGAACATTCCCAATAAAACAGTCATAACTCCCAGACAACAATAGCTACTACCTAGATATTTAACAGGCATCTAGCTCTATGGGTTATGAAACTCTTTACCAGAAATCATCTCAAACGCATCACTATAACTCCCGAAATGCGAGTTCTCCTCTGTCTGGTCTCAAACTTACACTACACAAATCAGATTCGAGAACATATTCATAACTTTCATACCAAAATTCCAAATGACAATCTGCTTTCAGCTATAAACAGATTTGAGAGTTAGGGATTCTCTTACCAAATTTCAGATTGATCAGGATAGATTTACTCGTTCGTTTCCTTCCTCTGATACAACAGGAGAGATTCACGCTGGATAGAGATTCTGCAGATTGAACCAAATGAGAAAAACCAGTGATAACTTTCGTCACATGCCCCCGATCTGAACGATATAGGCCTTTCTGGAAAGCTGATACTCGGAAATTTCTATCTATAGGTAAATCCTCGCAAAATTTATACTGATATCTCTTCTATCTCTCGACACTTCTAGGCGATTGTCCACCGCTTTACTTTTCCTCTCACTGACTCAGCTTCCGGTGTCCAGTTTACCGTTTTTTTACGGTGTTATCTCTTCCAGAATCTTTGCCGGAACCACAAAAATCCTTTTCTACCTTTTAATTTCAAAGACTTATGGATAATGTTTGGGAAGCACTACAAAATCTCAGTTTGCGGGGTGAAATTAGAGCCTCCAAGCCAATTTCGGAGGCGGCTCACAGAGTTCAAATGGATAATAATCGTCTCAGTTTACTTGCATCTGCTCTTAATTCGCAGCAAAAGCCCTTGGATCTCAAAATCTTGCTTCCTAAGGCCTGGAAAATGGAAGGTAGAATCACAATTAAATTAATAACGATGGTACGGTCCAATTCTATTTCAAAGATGAGCATCATCTGATGAATGTATTGGAGCATGGACCATGGCACTGTAGTAACTGGATGGTTGCTATAGATCGATGGATTTGTCGGGATGAACCAGACTTCCTCCTTACCATCTCCTTCTGGGTTAAGATCCTACATATTCATGAAGAATACAAATCTGATGAAATCATTTATGAAGTTGGAGACATTTTGGGTACTGTCAATGAGATTAAAATTACTGAAGCAACTGCTGATGCAGATAGTAAAGTCTGGATTCACGTGCGCAAGAAGTTTAATAGTAGACCCATTTTTATCCGCTACTTGGAATTTGAGCCTGGTCAGCCCACAATGGTTCGATTCCTCTACAAGAAGTTAAGAAAATTCTTCTTCAGATGCGGGCTCTTACACATAGTGATGCGGTTCGTCAGTATGAAGGTGATGCATATTACCAAAGGAGAGTTGAGGAAAGCCAGTCTGATGTTTCTATGACTCAGCAACAGTTTCCTGAATCAGGCATCCCTCTTCTGAACATTGGGCCTTCTCAAAGACATAGACCTCTAGTTCATGATTACTCAATGGAAGAACCCCAAAACTCGCATATACATCCGATTGGTACTATCACACCTGTTCAGGCACCTGTGGTGGCCACCGGAGAACAACATCCTGTTACTTTTTCGCCTCCACATGATGGGCGTGATGATACTATGGACGAAAATGTGGAATCTAATCTGCAAAATGAGGAGCAGGTACAGCATCGCTGGCACTGATTTCCACTTGCATGTCCCTCAGGATCCATCTCTGCCGGGTTCTCCTTCTCAAGATGATAATGCTGCAATTCGAGGCACTAAGCGTAAGGCTTTGCAGATGGATACTGAGGATGAAGCGTCTACCACACAACAACGACATGTTACTCGAGTTAAAGAAACGACTGTTGATCAAGGGGAGGTGGCAACCCCAAAACCACCATCGCATCAATGAGAATTATGCATTGGAACTGTCAAGGTTTAAGGAACCCCTTGACAGTTCAGCATCTCCTGGAGATTCGTCGAGCTAAATCTCCCGATGTAATGTTCCTAGTGGAGACTAAAAATGCTGTACCATATGTTCAAAGTGTTTGCTCAACCCTTCAATACTCTCATCAGTTTATTATTCCAGCTCAAGGTACTAGTGGCGGTTTAGCTATCTTTTGGGATCACCATGTTCATGTTCAAGTCTGCAGTCCTTCCCTCAATTTTACTAATGTGTATATTCGGGAAGGTTCCACTACTTATTGTATAAGTTATGTCTACGGTCCTCCAACTAAGCAACCACGACAGGATCTCTGGCGAAGAATGCAACGACGAGCACCTTTATATTATGTTACTCCAAGACTAGTTCTCGGTTATTTTAATGACATCAAATCTAATGAGGAGAAAGTTGGGGGTCGTCTTCGATCAGAATCAAGCTTTGAAGCTTTTCGTTCTATGATTGTTGGTAACGGATTACATGATCTGCAAACTATTGGTGAAACCTTTATATGGGTTGGTTCTTGTCATGCGTATGTGGTTCGATCAAAGATTGATGGAGCTATGGTTAATACTTTATGGTCCGATCTGTTTCCCTCGACGTACACTTAATTACTTAATTGGTTGGGTTCTGATCACCGACCGTTATTGGTTTACACGGATACTAAGGCGTGGAAATCGAATAAATTTTTCAAATACGATAATCGATGGCAGCATGATCCTCAAGTTAAAGAAGTTGTTTCCACAGCCTGGCAGGAGAGATGTCAACATCTTCCTCCACACCAGTTTGGCCAAGCTATTAGTCACTTTCGAGATGCTCTTGCAAGATGGAAACGCACTACCAATACCAATTCTCGAAAGCAGATTGTTGAATTAAAACAATCTCTTCATCAAGTGTATAATACTTTTACCCTTGATTTTCATTATATAAATTTTTTGAAGAAGAAGCTAATGACTGCTTTCAGGTTGGAAGAGGAGTATTGGAAAGCTAAGAGTGGCGAGCATTGGCTGAAGGCAGAGGATCGAAATACTAAATATTTTCAGGCCAAAACCAAGCAGAGACGATTCTATAACAAATTGATTGTGCTTGAAGATGATGATGGTACGTTGTATACTACTCCTCAAGCCATTCAAAGCAAAGTCCAGGAATATTTTACTCAACTGTATAGTACACAGCATCCTCAGATTGATCAGGCGCTCTTAGCAGGTATTCCTTTGACAATTACCCATGCTATGAATCAGAAACTTATTGCGCCAGTAACTAGGGAAGAGATTAAACAAGCGGTGTTTAGTATTCCTTCTGAAAAAGCTCATGGTCCTTATGGTATAAATGCGGGTTTTCATAGAACTCATTGGGATACAATTGAGGCCAGTGTTTATCATTTTGTCGAAGCTTTCTTTCAAAAAGGATATTTACCTCCTGAAATCAACCATACGCATATTTGTCTCCTTCCTAAAAAAGAATCCCCTACTTCTCTTAAAGATTATAGACCTATTAGTTTATCTAATGTCGCTTATAAAATCATCTCTAAGGTTCTAGCTAATAGGTTTAAGCCCTGTTTGGATAATGTTATATCTGATAATCAAACAGCATTCATACCAGGGTGACTTGTCACTGACAATATACTTAAAGCTTATGAATTTTTACATTCATTGCGAACTAAACGTTTAAAGCGTCACTTCATGGCTCTCAAGTTAGATATTTCCAAGGCGTTTGATAAAATTGAATGGAGTTTTTTGGATGCAGTAATGGATAAGATGGGGTTTCATGCACAATGGATTATGCAATGTATTAGCCCTGTCTCTTACTCTGTGCTTATTAATGGAGCGCCTACTCATCGGATTTTTCCACAAAAAAAGTAATCGTCAAGGGGACCCTATATCTTTGTACCTCTATTTACTTTGCACGGAGGAGCTCTCTGCTTTTTTAAAGAGTTTAGCTGCACAAAAAAGAATTACTCAGATACAGAGCTTCGCGTGGGGGTCCGGTTATTACACATCTGTTCTTTGCGGATGACTCTCTACTTTTTTCAGGTACTACTGTCAAGGATGCCCTAACGCTAAAGAATGCCCTGGCTCTATATGGTCATGCGTCCGGACAGTATATCAATTATACAAAGTCATCAATTCTGTTTAGCAAAGGTACACCATAATCTACTATCACTGACCTCTCGCATTTATTTCAGATAACACAGGTTGGAGGTTTTGGTAAATATTTAGGTGTGCCAGAGTCAATAGGCAGAAGTAGAGTTGATACTTTTGCTTATTTAAAGCAGAGCTCGCTAGTTGGTTTACTAAATTTTTGCCACCTGCTGGTAAGGAGGTCTTAATTATGTCCATCATTACTACCAATACAACATACACTATGAGTTGCTTTCTGTTGCCTAAACACCTTATTAACCAAATAATGGTTGATATCAAACGTTTCTGGTGGTCCAATAGTCCAGATAGAAGAAAAATTTCTTGGATTGCTTGGAATAAAATGGTGGAACTGAAATCTCAAGGAAGGTTAGGATTTAGAGATTTCAGGGACTTTAATCTTGCTATGTTAGCTAAACAGGGATGGCTGTTAATGAAGCATCCCTCTTCCTTGTTAGCCCAAGTTTATAAAGTTAAGTACTATCCTAAGACCACCTTTCTCCAAGCTGATTCTAAACGGCATTCTAATTATGCCTGGTAAAGTATTCTTAGTGCTAAAGAGCTCTTAAAAACTGGTCTTTTGTGGCATGTTGGTAATGGTGAAACTCTGAATGCTTGGTTTAAATCCTCTGAGACCTCCAATGCCTGGATGCTCCGAGTATTATCCTAAGCTAAAAGTCTCTGACCTTATTATTTCAGGTACTCACCAGTGGGATCAGGATCAGTTACATATCCTCTTTGCACCAAGTGATGTTCAACAAATCAACCGCATTCATCCATCAATCACTAATGTAAGTGATACTCTCTCTTGGATTCACACGCCGCATGGTTTCTATACCGTTAAATCAGGATATTTTGTTATGCGCCACCTAACAACTGAGCATTCCCCTTCTCCTGTAATTCCTAATGCCAACTCGTCTTTGTTTAAAACTGTTTGGAAAGTAAATGCTCTTCCAAGACTTAAATCTTTCTGGTGGCGAGTTCTTCATGACAGACTTGACAGTTTACCTGTTGCTTGTCAGCTTCAAAGGCGAGGAGTTTTAATTGACACTACATGCCAGCTTTGTGGCCAAGCAGATGAATCACTCAATCACCTTCTTTTCCGCTGCACTATTTTGCAAGAGGTATGGGCATTATCTTTCCCCCACCTTTCTAGCGAACTAACCTTTACGTCTACGGCATCATTCTCTAATTTAGAAGCTTTGTTTCGTATCATCTCGGGTTTTACTATTACTTGACCTTAGCATTCTAATTCCTCGAACATCTGTCCGTATTGGATAAGGATTGATCCAAAAATCACACGTGTTACACTACTCTCATTACTCAAAATGTCACGAGAGACTTCCATATTCGTTTTTATGTTGCTACAGGTTATCCAGGTTGACAGAAGCATGTTTTTGAAGTGAGAGCTGTTTTCTCCATCAGATGTTTTTAGTTCAGCTGTTATAAAGGTTTTTGGTATAGCAAGATGTAGAAGGTCAATGATATCTGGTTGAGTTAACAATACAATTCGGTCTAATAAAATTCAAAGAAACCCAATATTTTAAAAATCAGACCGAACCGATGATCCTGCTAGTCTTCTGCTTTTGGTTCATGGTTGAATTCGATCCGACCCTGATTTGATACGGTTTTAAAACACTGGTTTTCTTGTAATTCCTCATATATAATAACATCAGACGTCAGAAAAAAGAGTAAAAAGTAAGCATAAAACAAAAAATAGAGATGTAAATTGTTCCTCTAATATGGTTTGACTAGATGTAAATTACTTTCGGAGTTTCAGTCAAGTCTCTCGTAGGCTTGTACATTTGTTCATCTACAAAAAGTCCTTATAATGTACACAACAAGCAACACGATTACCTTTCCGCATAGTTGCAACTTTAAACAAACAGAATCAGCATAACTGTTCAGCTACTACCAAAACACACTTTTTTTTCTTTTATCGTATTCTTGCTTTATTGTCGCCTAAATCATCATTTCTCCTCAAAATCAACATCAATGATTTGGGACTTAGATGGCTTTTTAGAGTTGCCCTTGTTGTTGTTATTGTTGTTGTTGCCATCTCTGGAGAAGAAATCGCCTTGTGGCTGCCACACTATGTTCCTACATCCCTCGCATCTGATGACTTGGTTCTTGTATCCTATGAACTGCCTCTTACACGCTGGACATTCTCCCTGTGCAGCAACCAAACGTTATAACAGAGCGTTGAACAACATTTGGTTCTACAATACTGGTCGTGTACTAAACCGTAGAAAGTAGACAAAAGGATCTGAGTTTTATCAGCTATATATATATATATACCTTGATGACGAAGTTATTCGCCACTGCACCAATGAGAAGAGGGCCAGCAATCGGAAGAACCCATGTCGCGATTATTATCACTCGGAACAACCATCCAGACAGAGCAAACCAAAGAAAGAAAATCGTCTGGAAATGAAATTAAAGCATATTCAAGATTAGAACTATTCACCGAAAACAATGTTTAATCAGACAAATAATAAAAGTAAGTCCTTTTTGTAAGTTAAGCTACTCAATGAAACACATGCAATGAGAATATATGGTACATAGTTCCTATATCTTTTTGGTACATAGTATATAAATCAGGGCCGTGCTCACATGACTAATAAATCGACATCACAAAATCATTTTTGGTTTTCATAGTCCAAGACTGTTGTTTATTTATAAGATTATTCAAAGGCCAGCCAGATCAAGTGAGTCAATACAGAATCATGTTTCACGAGTAAGCTTAAGCATTGAAGAATGTATCGATTTAAGGATACATTCTATCTTAATTGAGTAAAAGTGAGAGAAAATAACAATGTAATACTTACAGCAAAACTTCCACCGAGTGGTGTATTCAAGAAATCACTGAATTGCTTCCTGTACTGTAAGAATAAACATGGAGAAAAAACTCAGAACAAGCAAGAGTCATGTACGTATATATAGTTCTTTTGTGTATAGGTTTTTCCTCTAGATGCCCTCAAATAATCAATTCATAATAATTTCATAAACATTCCACTATTGAATGAACTATGTATTCTATGAAGATTCTACATGCTTCGACACTTGTGGTTTTTTTGGTCTAACATAGCACAACTAATTCTTTTAATTTAAATGGCTACACCAACTTTGCTCCATTTGATATATGACAAATTGACAATAGCAATAATTATAAAAGCAACAATCAATAATTATAAAAGGAACTGCCAATCAAATGTTCTTTCGCATAGATGACAGAATTGTAAACTATAACATAAAATTTAATTTATCTCTTTCTCAATTCAATTTCAATTCGTAAATCCTCGACTGCAGAATCTATGTATTAGTCATTTCCAGAAGCAATTGAAATAACAGGAAAACGCACCTTGGGAAAATTTCTACTAAAATCGACGGATAAGCTCCTGACACGTGGGCTAATCCCGAATTCGCGATCAATCTCACGAGCACGGTCACCAGCAGAGCTTGCGGCGGAGCTAAATCGGCGAGAGACGGCGTACTGACGGTCGATTCTCTCGGCGGTTTTCTTCGCCTCAAAGACGAATTGCTCGAATCCATCGTTGGCGGTACGCCACGCGTCTCTCCAAGCCTTTCCCGACTTAATGTTATCGGCGAAACGGTCGAAGTCGCCGCGTTGGAAGGCCTTAACCTGGAATAAAGGGGCGGCGCGTGTGGTGTACGTGCGAAGGTGCGGATAAGGCGTGGCGAATCTGGGTGGTGCGGAAGGCCACATGAAGTTGCAAGCCTTCATGATAGTCGATATACCATGAGATTGTCGCAGAGCGATTGTAGGAAGAAGAAGAAGACAAGGTTTTCTGTGGTTACTCTTCGATAGAAAAAGACGCAGAGGAAGCTCAAGGTGATAGATTGAAAAGTAAAAAACACCTTTTTATTGGTTTATCTTCTAGACTTGTTAGACCCACAAAAATACAGAATTGGTTCCGGTTCTGGCCGGTTTGAATAGTGTGGGAAAAATGATATTTTCCTCTCTTCTTTTTTCTTTTTCTGTGGTTTGAAAAATTATATATATTTTCACAAAATATCGATGAAATATCATTTTTTCTTTCGCGATTTATTTTCGAAAACCTCGCACTTAACAATTTTTTTCTAATAACATACAATGTACTGAAATTAAATTTGTGTGATAACATACAATATACTTTTTCTTAGAAAATGTGCAAGTTGATAAAAATTTTGAATAAAATCTTTTGGCATTTTCTATATATTAATTAAAGATATAATTTATAAAAACTTACAATTTATTTTAATTTGATTGACTAAAATCTTAAACATAAACTATTTAAATATAATATATAATAATGATATAATTCTGACATAAATTTTTTTAATATATGTGACTTATGCCATAATTTATTTATTGATATTTTATTTTAAATGGCTAACTAATGTAGTAAACATAATGAGATAATTACAAAATGATTCAAAGTTTGAGTTAAAATATAAATTTAATCCACAAAATTCATCTTTTTAACATTAGCCTTTTGTGTTTAAACAATTCTTCTGAGTTTCAATTATTTAAAAAATTGTTATTACTTCAAATTTATTCTTTTTATTTTGGATATCCAATTGACTAAATAATCTTCATCTTCCTCATCTATTTATGAAAATGTCATTATCATCAATTCATCCAACTACTATTTTTAACTAATTTCGAACTTTAATGGCACCAAAACCTCTTTTTTGAGCTTGGATAGCTCATTATCTTTCTCTTAAACTTCTATTCTTCCGTTTTCTCTCTATTTTCTTTCCAAATTTTTTATAATTTGACATTTAAAAAGTTAAAGTTCATAGATATTTCTATATTCCGGCAAGTTGATTGTTTTTTGTGATTGTGTTTTTTTATGGTGGCTAAAATCAATGATCTCGACCAAAAAAAAAATTAAAGACGAGTGGTAAGTCAAATTTTTAGTCGATTTTAGTGTTTTTTCAGTTCTGAGCTGCGAAAGTAGACTTCTCTTTACCGCTGTGAAGTCTACTAGTCAACGCCCAGGTTAGTTATGCAATTGGCCGCATGAAAAAAGTAGACTTGTTTTGGTCCAAATGAAAAAAATGGCGTAGACTTCTCTAGTAGACTTCTTTAGAGGCACGTCATTTTTACAGTTGACCAACTTTTGACTTCGTAGAGTAGACTTCTCCAAGACAAGTAGACTTCTCAGAAGTTTACTTAGACTTCTCCGAGAAGCCTAAGTAGACTTCTCCGAGAAGTGTACTAATCTTTTGGCAATTGCAAAACTAACCTGCAAAAAGTCTACTTTTCTTCGAGAAGTATACTTTTCTTGTTTTTTTAGAATGCATAAATACAATATATAACAAATTTTTAAGATTTTCGTGATCCTAAGCTTTTCTTAGTAAGTGTGTGTGCTTATGCATAAGTTTTACGTATCTATATTTTATAGGTATAGTCGAATCAGTTTTTATGTTTTATAAGATACTTAGCTTATTGATCGCAGACTTCTCCAAGAAGTCTACTAAGTAGACTTCATCGGACTTTCAAAGAAGACTAATTATTCAATTTTGATTTCTAATGTGGTTTGGATTTTGTTTTCTTACAGAGAATGGTTGACATACCCGCTGTTTGTGGAGAATGGGTGAGGAGCGAATCAGTGTGGCAGTTCGAGGTGGATAATAGCAAAGGAGGGCGAATGTTGTTCTTAAGAGATGGTTGCACACATGGTTAGCTTCTTGGAATGGTGCAAGAGGATTATATGCTGGAAAAGGAAACAAAGGTGGAGTTATCCTATCCCTTACCATCTCCGATGCTTCAACAAATGCCTCCTGATTCTCCGCCTATGTATGTCTGATAGGGCTCAGATTTTACCCAAATAAAACTACTGCAACTGCACAGCAATGCAGTTATAGTATGAAAGGTTATCGAATCCCAAGGGAGTAAGTTAACTACACTAAAGAGTTCAGGTTCGAATTAAGCTAAGCAATAAATAATGAATGTAATGCGAAACAGCAAAATAAAAGCAAGGGGGCGTTTTTATAATTGTTCTTAAAGTTCAGAAAGCTAAAGGCATTAAGTTAGGATAATTTGCAGGTTGAATCAGAGAGTGTAGAATGCATACAATCAGGAATGAATTAAAACCGTATTGAACATGAATCGCAAAGATATAACTAATCAATTCTCATTGCAGAAGTTATCTATGTATAAATTACAGAGTTTCAAATCTCTTTGCAAACTCTAACAACCTAAACATACAGTAATGATCAGGTTCAATTGTTCATAAAAATCATAAGTCAAATCTCTTTGCAAGTAGGCGCTTTGCTCATCTAATACTAGTTCAGGTGATTAACAATGTTCTCACATCTATTAAACAACCTAGGGTTTCGAAATCTAGATGATTAGTCTCAGAAATCGATATGAATGCAAGCACATATGAAGAACTAATGGATTTCCTAACAGTTTTGCAATTCTACAAACTCTTCATCAACCTTTGAAAAACCCTAACTTAATTAACAAACTACTCAGACATGGTGAATTGAGAAAACATCATGAAAAGAATAGATTGTATAAAAGAAATAAGAAATAAAGATAAAGGAGTTCGAAATCTGCTCTGAAGGAGTCAGATTTGTCTCTCCAAAAGCTCTGCTACAAATTTCTCTCGAAAACTCTCTAGAAAATAAGATACAAGATAAAAAGTGGCTGAAAAACCGAATATACAAGCTAAAAACGAATTTGGGCCTTTTGTAATTAATAAAATTTCTGGGCCAAAACTTCAATTTTCTCCCTATTTTATAATAAGGCTTTGTGATTCCTCTCAGATGTGGGTGACGAGCGTCACCCATAAGTGGTGACAATCATCACTAGTACAATGCAGTGCCTTCTGAGTTGCTAACTTCGGGGTTGATTCTTGCAATGATCCAAAAAGCTCAAGAATCTCCAATTATGCCCCAGTCATGCTATAACCTACAAAGACTCTACTAGGACTCTAAAAAGACCAAAAAGACTCAATAAAAAGGACTTATACCATGGTTAAAAACTATAAAAACCATGATATATCAACTCCCCCAGACTTAGCTCTTGCTTGCCCTCAAGTAAACATCAGACAAATAACAGGGTCGAGGTTTGAAAACCAGATACAGTCAGTTAAACATCAGGAACACCACATTGATCAACACTTTTGAATCCACATACCACAGAGCCAAAACAAGATCGAATTTCAGTCTAATCATCACAAGCTCAGCAATCTCTCAAGTCCAGTTCAAGCCACTTCAAGAAATCCGAAATCTCTACTGCTAACTCCTTATATTTATCTAAGTGTGATATCTCATCAAGGTTTTATCAACTCAATCACTTATAGATTCTTTTTCCTTCCTTAACACTGAACAAATCAATCTCAACACAGCTCTCCTATTTTCTCTTCCCTTTATCTTTTTCTGATATTTTTGATTTTTCAACTTTTTTCTCAAATTTTTACAGCCTAAGATATGGTGCTACTCAATACTTGTGTTCCTTGTGGGGACACATGTTCTTAAGTGTTTGCTACTGTTGTTCCTTGTAAGGAGACAGGGTCATGATGCATCATTCTATTGACTTAAAACTCTTAAAAGCTGTATCAGGGAAGATCAAAGAGAGACTATATCTAAACATCCTTGTCAGTGTTGAAAGAGAGAATCAAGATCAGTGAGAATCAAGCCCCGAGATAAGAAGTTTAAAGTTCATTAAGGTGGAGTTAACAATAAATTTTCCAGATTCTCTAAGAACCTAAACCTTCTTTGCTAGACTGATCTACCTATGACTTTCAACTAAGTAAGAATTGTAATCAACTGCTGTGGCAATGGTTCTTATATGCATCAACGTTCTGTGGTTAGTTCATAGAAAAACTGGCAGTTTCAAAATTTTGACTCTAAAAACAGGTTTTTGACTCAACTTAAAGACTCTCAAATCAAAACGAAATGTACACAACGTCAGTAGCCACCTCCCCCAGACTTAAACAACACTGTCCCCAGTGTTATTAAGCCTAGAGTTGGTGAATTTAGAAGAAGCGGAACGCAAAAAGCAGAGTCTAAAAGTGGTACCTCGCGTTGGATGGGGTGACGAGCGTCACCCAATACTGGTGAAGATCGTCACCTGGTGTTGAGATCGAGTCTGCTCAAATAACTCCGCTCTTCTTCTTTTTGTGTTTTTTTTTATGTTAGAAAACGAAAACAAACTAAAGTATAAAAACTAGAGAACTCACTAGTGGGTTGCCTCCCACCAAGCGCTTGTTTAATGTCATTAACTCGACTTTGAATGCTGCTCAGATAGCTGGTGGATCAGAAAGTGGCAGTGAATGCCTTGGAGAAGAATGTCTCCTCATCCATGGTGGTGTATAAGCAGCAGATGCATGAACTCTTCCAAGGAAGTGAGGAACATCAGCAGGGCGGGTTTTGACTGTGGGTGGGACACTTCATTTTTCTACAAAATCATCAAAAGAAACACCAAGCTTTCTACGAGAATCTCGTTGCTTGCATAAGTGTGAAGCAGCTTTTACATCTTTTAAGTTCTTATTGATGAGATTAGGAGGTTTGGGATTGGTTCCAGGAAGTGCATAGCTTTGCTTTGTTAGAGGTCTCTGGTTTGTGGAATGTTGAATTGTCGGTTTGGCAACATATGATGGACTTGCAGCAGAAGGATCTGACTTCACCTTTGGGTCCGGATTGGTGTTGAGCGACACCATGTGGTCAGTGACAATCATCACTGATCCTGCAGTCCGAGTTTCTGCAATTTTTCTGCAGTTCAACTCTGTAATCCCTGTCTCCATCACAAACTCGTCTTCCTCCACCAACTTGTCATTGATTGGAACCTATTTTTCGAGCCTAGTCTTGAAGATATCATCTTCACTCCATTCCTCAAACCCAACAGCTTCTGCAGAAGTTTCAGATATTGCCTCTTCAACAACCAGCTTGTTCACTTGCCCACTAGCATCTGATTCATTGACATACCTAGCAGTAATGTTTTCTGAATGCTCCATGACTGGTTCTTCATCTCTGGAAGTTCTTA